CGCCGCCCCCTTCGGGGTTGGTCCTGCAGTGAAGATATGACTGATGGCTGGGCAGTTGTCCGTAACGTGAATATCGTTAACGACTTATTCCTTTCGTTTTTCGTCCCTAACTCCATTTAAGAAAAGTAACGCGTAGTTCGCTCTGCTAACGTGGGCTGCGCGCCATCTTCTGGCTGTCAAAAATCAGACGGAGGGAGAGTTCCAAGAGGAAATGTCAATTGGGAGATGATCGTCATTTCGGTTATTTAAAATAAATGAAAGAAGTTTACAGGCTATTTCATTTTCACGAGCTTCCTCCGGGACTACTTCAATCGGTCGGTACGGTAGGAGAGTAATGACGCAAGTGGTGCAGCTGGTCCAGCAGGTCGTAGGTCCGTCCTCTCTGCAAGGCTTAGTCCAGGGGTAAGCAAACCAGCCCTTTTGGCGGAGCCTCTCTTTGAGGCTTAGTCCTGAGGTAAGCATCAAATTGAGGCGGTTTTAAGGACCGAGTTGAAGTAGTCCGTCACCGTCGGGACCCCATCCCCTCCCCAACATTCAGCATACGGTCCCAGCAGAAACGCCAAAAGGGCTGGTTTGCTTACTTTGATCGACCCGGACCACTACCGCTGCTCTATTTTGCTTCATAACTCCGTTCAGAAAATCGTTTGGCAGATTTGGAAAGCAGATTCGAGATCAGCGTCCAAAAACACATCCATGGTGTAGGTCTCATTGCATATGGCCACTTCGACCCTTCATCCTTTTCTGGTTTTTTTAAAGGCCTGATATTCTGAAACTGCCTGAAGTGAAAATTCGAATTTGTACGGTGCTTATTGGTTTCATCGTGATGTCGGGTAATCACATGAGGAGGAAATGCGAGCAGGGTGTCTCCAGTGGGTACTAATTTCAAATTCAGCTTTGATATTAATCCCTTTTCACTTAATCATAATTTGACACGATCAGAATAAATTCATGATCAGTACACATGATCCGGTTGAATTCATTACCATTCTCACACCGCAAACGCTCGGCGCAATTTGAGACTGCGCTCCCTTCTGCTTGATTTCAAACCATTAATAAGCAACCTACTAGCTAAGTGAAATGGTTGTAACCTACCAACTATGTAAGATACAGACTGTGAAATGAACATAACTTGTGGCTCGATTATTTTGTTATCACATCATTACAACTACTCGGGTATTTCTTATGCCTCTTTCACCCTAGAACGAACTAATCTCCAATGATCCTTACTTTCTTGATGATCGGCTAAGAGACTCGACAGTAAGTCAACTCGCACGTTGGCACAACTTTCAGAGGTCGGCAACCCAGCTTCCCCCTCCCCCTCCCTTATGTAAAGGCAATCCTAGCGGCGGCTGTGGCGCTACACCTGCCAACACTTGACACATTCCATCTCCTCCATTAAAACTCCAAAAGTGCGTCAAATGAATAATATGAGAGCGGGGTGGAAGGTGTTTCCTTTCACTACAGTCCATGCTAGGTGTGTGTCTACGGATTCGACGGGCCGACCGCCGCACTGGATGAAAACACGTGGCTGGTGTTTCCAGAACACTTCGCTAGAAATCAGCAAAGCATGCTGGAAACAGCTACTCACAGCTGCTTCAATAATAAATGTGCGGACCCCAACGTCGAAGTCCGTAAACACGTTTACGCAGACGGCGAGAAATGATTGTATATGAACCGCTAACCTGGCGTCTCGCTTATTCGTATAACTTCGTATTTATAACACTGTGTTTCCTAAATATAGGGTTCAGCCCTACAATTTTTGCTAATTCCAAACTGCTTGCAATTTTTGGAAATGTGCTTATCACCATATAGATTCCCTTACACATGAAAACCTTGATCGCTACGACTTGCCGAAAAATTTCAATCTAGATATTCTGAAAATATATTCTTCGGAACGTATTATCACCGTTTCGCAAATATGACTACATATCATTTGTCGAAAAATTCTATTACAACAAGATGAACATTACAATCTCCCAGTAATGGTATGATCCTTCATTAATCATAGCATCATCATAATACGTTTTGGAATGCTGGTAACCAAATTAGCTATTACATAGGATCGAAATTTGTCTGTGCGCCGATGATCGACGTTTTCAGCTCTTCGGCTGTTCCATTTTGCTTTCTTTGCTGTGGAACTTTATAACAATTAAGGCCCAATGATTCTCTATTGGAATCTGATTCAGATAACATGGTGGCCACCAGATAACTGCCACATTTTTTCCTGCACTTCCATCTGGTGGAAGGACCGGCATGGACAGCCGCGTTATCGTGCGTAAAAATCAAGGATCGAGGGGGCTGTTGTCGAAAAAATGGTAAAAGTCGCTTCAAAAGAACTTCACGATACCCTATGGAATCCTTGTGAAAGGAAACAAAAGCGAGCTCTAGCCGCTCAGTCGTTCAAAGGTGCCTCAAACCATAAGGGATTCTCCGCCGAAATTACGTTACATTGAAACCATCTGCGATTTTCACGCGATCCTCCTGTACCCTCTTTTTCTATCAGATCCACCTAGAATAAACTTTTTCACGTCGATCTCAGATCACCTGTAGCACGAAACAAGGAGGTAGAGTCCAAGATCGCGAAGGGTCTTAACAGCCACACCTTCGTTCATTAAGTTGAGCCCTTTTCCACGGAGAAATGGAGACGTGCGATCTTGTAGCGCTCAAATAATCTTGGAACGCTCTTCATCAATCCGCTGAAGATGTTATTGCTCTGCTGGCTTACTCACCACACGGTGGTTTTGCTCACGGAAGGCCGCATTTCAGTACGGACTTTGTTCGGACTCCTTGTATAATTCGAGAGAAGACGCCCAATTCCTCCTAAATTTTAAACGCAGTCTTTATTTACCTAAGCTACTCTTCTCTCCGCACTGATCAGGATTTCGCACATGGTTTCTTATGCAGTATGAGCTCCTATTTCCCCGCCTCCCTAACTTTCTTCACGAATGATTAGGAATTGTAACTTCTCATGTGTGGCGCGGTATTCATAAAACGGTGAAAATCCGTTCTGAAAAAGTTATTTAAAAGTTATTAGGTTACTTGAGGGGGAATTTCTTCAGAAAAACACTATCAAGGTTTTTCGTTATGAGGAATCTATTGGTGATAGCAGCATTTTCCAAAAATGCACAGCAACTTTGGAATAGCAAAAATTTAGGGTGGACCTATATTTATGAAACGCAGTGTATGTGCTTCTGTATGTATGTCGGTGTGTTTATCTGTCCGTTCGCGAGACGAAAAGAAGAGTACATGGAATGTATGACCGCTAGCAAGATTGGAGCTCGTATGCCTCGCGATTTCGAGGTTTTCGTTATTGGTATATTGTTGTAGTAACACCCCTAGCTGCATTATACAAAACCCACTGGGTAGGTCGTGGTTGGCTACGACAGAAAAGACAAATTTTCTCGCGTTTTGCCAGCGCGAAACACATTTTTCCGCGTGCTCAGGGAACCTCGGGTCCACTTGACGTGCAGAGGCGGACCGGAGATCCCACAGCGAAAAACACAAACCACACCCCCTGGTGTATCAGGAGGGGCCGGGCACTTCTGGCAACAAGGCAGAAATTCTAGCGGACGATTGGCAACTGTGGCGATTTCGCGTCAACTTGAAAACAATTGCCATTGTACGTCTTACATCGCACGTCATCGCGCCGCAACACGTTGGCTAACTCTGTCTTTTCGCCGCGCGACGGGTCTCCTGTCGGATACTCACATCCACTGAATACACTCTGTCGTCGTCGTCGCACCACCTGTTGCAGTGGTAGCTGGAGGGCAAGGGAGGGAAAAGAATGCAGGAGAAGGCAAAAGGACCAACAAATACGAGGAACCTGGAAGTGACCACACTGAAGTCGTAAAGCATGTGCAGTGAAGGGTGATTAGGTGAGCAGCGCGAAACAGGTCCAGCCGACAGCGAGGCCCTAATGTGTCAGCGTCAGTGCATGTTAATCTATTCACGTATGTCGTTCACTGCTAATCACACAGTTCCCTATGAACATGTAACATCCATGAACATGCATTTCGACTTACTTCATACTGAGATGGTTGGAAACTGGGGCAGGGGGAGGGAAAAAATGGTCTCCGAAAAGCTTTAGGTACACCTAGGGTGAGTGTTCATGTTTCTTTTCAAGATGATGTTCATTGTTGCAATAATGCCTTCAATTCTTCCTGAAGACATAGCTTTTGACCTTTTCCTTGCACAACCAGTCACCGTTCCCCTACACCCCGCAAACGCAACTGGCTTTCATCAAGCACAAATACAACCCCATCGCTTGAATGTGCTCAAAAGAACTGTTGATCAGATTCGCCATGAGCGTTGTGCCTAAACTAGACCATGCGTCAGATTTCCTTCTCAAAGCACTACATATATTACTTGGCTATTGCAGAAAATGCGCAGGTCATCCTGCTGTCAAATCAGGTCACCTTTATTTTTGCCTCATTAGATCCAAATGGATTACTTCATTAAAACTACAGCTGGCAACAGCTTCGCCTGTCTAACTCGATTACCTCAAGAGTATAGAAGCACACGTGTGAGTGTTGACAAGCTATGGGAATTGGTGCCCTGGTAGCGAAACTTGGAGCGCACTTGCTCGACAAGCACGAGGTGAGAGTTCGAGTCTCGTCTGCGGCGACGGGTTTGTTCACAACCCAGCATTCTTGCGAAATATATCAAGGTAGTACTCACACTTAGCATATGATTAAGCCTTTCCGCGATCAATCTTGAGTGGTGAAATATCGTATACGGGAAAGATCCTTTGATCTTAAGAAATAACAGGCGCTTTTCAACTGCAGACATTTTTTCGTCGTGCAATCGCTAGCGTTTTATTCCTTTTCATTATACACTCCAAAAATGCCAGTGTTTCTCAATGAATCAATAATTCTTTATTTTACAGTGATTTTTCACGGACACATTACACTTAGGAGCCCACATTGATGCATAACATTCTACAGCTAAGGCTTTTTTACAAGTTACAATAGTATCCTTTTTACATAAGAAGAAATGCACACTTATTTAGTTACTCCGCATGGAAGAGGAAGATCAAAGATGATGGGATCATAGGCAGTGCGTAGTTTGTGATCACAAAGCGATGCATTGATGAATGTTGTGGTGCCGTTGGTGGTCGCGCCATGCATCTAAACAAAACATGGTTTTGTGGAGTACATGGAAGAGGAGATGAAAGTAATACCTGGTGAACGTGACCGAAAACGTGGTATTTGGGCACGACACGTTGCTCGACGGTATTCAATAACTCAACGTCACCGGCTAGGATCCCATCCATTTTTTCCCACGAATTAAAATCGCCATGACCTCAAAGATGACAAAATTAGTTCAATTCTTCCTATCCCTTCTGAGTAAAAAGAAATTATTAGTCTAGTCGTAAGGACAATAAGTTATAGGCCTTACCTAGAGGTGGTGTATGAGTAATAAGGACATCAGTTTTGGGAGGAATCTGATTCCATTTGTGAAGGATTTTTTGTCCTCGTGGACGATAAAAAGAATATCCAGGCATTGAATGCCATGGTGTCCCGTAGATTTTTATACCGTATACCTGGAATTGTTTACTTGATTTCTGAGGAGAGCACTTCCATCGAACCTATTTGGCCCTAGTACATACCTCAGTTGAGCGATCGCAGAGATATGTGCAATTACTGAGCAGTTCATAAGCCTTGTTAATCCCGAGCATATTCAGACCAGCCATTTGCTTCTCGCTCATTTCTTCGCCGTCTTCAAAACCGAGTTCATGATTTCCGGGAATCACCAACTTGTATTTGTGCGGAAGTTGACCTTAAAAGAACAGTAATTCTTTGTAAGATGAATATTGAAAGTATAAGATCGTGGATTTTCTGGCTCCCTTGAATCTTTTTGAGTGCGCCATGCATTCGGCTTGTTATCGGAACTGTGGTGGCATTTGATTACGACTGGGTCTTTGCAATTAATTTCGTGAACATTCAGCCTGGTACCAGTCCAGCCGAACTCACAAAAAAGAAGCTTGGCCGGATATTAATTAAATATGAAAAAAGCATATGTCATATCCGATGTCTGATTATCTCAAATATTTATTTTTCAGTCAATTATATTGAGAAACCCAACAAAGCACTTCGATCCAAACCGGACTCAAACAGGCATAACCTCTTAGTCCTAGGCCGACTAATGGCATCGGATCTGCCTGATAGAGATTGAGCACTAATGGACTGAATATCCAATATCACTGATAAGTGATTGTACGGGCAAGATACGCTATCGTACATTCTCGTTTTTGAACAGGCTGTGTCACTTTCTCAAGGGATGGGTCTTCTCTACTCCCATTTAATTTGTGATGCTTCGATTAATGTGACATGAATTACGACATATCGTAGACAGGGCCTATTAAAGCCGTGCTGTATCTCTTT